CAAAAACCGAAGCACTGTACCTCCGTGAATTGTCCAAAGCGAAAGTGTTTTGAGCGTGCTCAGCGGAGCCGTTAAAAAAGACTGGAGCGAGCATCTTCCATTAACGTTACGACCGTGAAATATGACAATAAAATGATAGCCGTATGGTTGCAAACTTGCAGCCCGCCGAGTTGCCAGGGGTTTATCCTCACTCAAACGTGCAGAGAGCTGTAAAATGTTTACAGAAAGGGTCGTTTGCCACCATAAAATCCTATTTTCTCTCCTAAACAAGGCTGAGTGGAGCCATTTACAAACCCCAGAATGTTCATCGGGGGAGAGGGGAACATCTGTTCTCTCCGGGAGCCTGCAATGATCTTCTCGAACAAATTAACTAAAATGGGTGCTTTCTAATTAAATTAGCACTCGATTGGAAGGGCCCTGTGCGCTGGGGCACTCAGTAACCATTAGCATGGGGAGGGACCGTTTGCGCCAGCGCAAGCGATTTAACTGGAAGGTGAAATATGGAAAGGTCTGCTACCTGTGAACAATCACTGAAGCCACGGATAGCTTTGTTCAGGTGCCCATTGTAGCCCATAAAATACAAAGGCAAAGGATCTGGGTCTCGGGCAAGCAAGCGGGAGAGTGCGAAGGTGGGAACCTCCAAGCAGCTGCATACAGCTGGAGAGCCTGCCAGGGTGCAGGAGGCACTTGGGCGCCAGATGTTCTGGTTTCCGTGAAGGTCACCCAGCAAAGTCAGCAATTCTAGGACTAAGCACCACATAACTCTGCGCCAGCTTTTCTCTAACACCTTCCAGATGTTTTCGATGGCCCCTCCCACTGTTCCAAGACAACACATCTGGAGGGCCACAGGACTGGGGAAGACTGCTTGAAAGAAAGGCAATTAACCAGCATCATGTTTCCAGAATGAATAATGTAATAATCATGTGCTGTCAAGACTCTTCTGACTTATGGTGACCTTTATGCTGTTTTCCATGTAGGGAATATTCAGAAGTGGTTCCTTAGTCCCTGGAACAGTGCCGCTGGCCCAAGGCTACACAGGCTGGCTGCTTCTCCCTGGAGGCACTCCCAACGCCTGGATCCACAGCCAGAGACCTAAACGACGGAGCCGCCCAGCCAGCGTTAGTGGGGTTCAGATCCCTTTGAGCGAGGGAGGAGGGTGAACATGAGGGTCAGCCTCTCAACAGTGTGCTGTGGGTCACTGCAGGAAAAGGAAGGTCGGGTCTCTGATCCATTTCAATGGGGGATGTGTTGATATTCCTACTCTCTACCTGAAGCCGCCTGAAGGCAAGGGATCCAGTTTGTGAATGAACCCAAGGCCAGAACTTTGTTATTTTATTTATTTATTTATTTGATTTGATTTGTACCCCGCCTATCTGGACCAATGGACCACTCTAGGTGGCTTACAAACTTACAAACGCAGTACACTGCTGATCTAACTGAAGTGCCTATATATACATGGCTCCCTCTTCCGCTCAGCATCTTGCCCCCCCTCAACCAGCAGATATTGCACCCCAGTGCGTCCCTATGGCCTTGGGCTTGAACTTTTATCCTTTTGTGCGGCTTACAAACTTACAAACGCAGCACAGTGCTGATCTAACCGAAGTGCCTATACATAGCTCACTCTTCCGCCCAGCATCTTGCCCCCCCATAACCAGCAGAAATTGCACCCCAGTGCGTCCCTATAGCCTTGGGCTTGAACTTTTATCCTTTTGTTTGTCTGCCTTAAAATGAAAATGGGGGGGGGGAGAGAATTCCCACAATCCTCTTTCTGCTGGCACCCTCATCTCTTGGCATGTCAAAGACTCGAAATGGGCCGATCCAAAGGGAACCTTGCACCACAGGAGTTAAACTGCAGTCCTGCAGCCAAGCCTCTACTCACGGCTTGGGCAAAGGGTGCCAGCAGGAGGTTGACTCAGCCTTTGGAGGTGGAGGGAGACAGCAGGGGCAGCAAGGTGTGGCCGGCATAATTCAATCATAAACTGCCCAGAGAGTGCTTTGAGTGCCACGGAGTGGGTATAGAAGCAGTGTGCTTTGCTTTGGAACAGGGTGTGTGGAGTTGCAGCAATTTCTACTACAGACTACAGATGACATGATTCCTCTCTGAGGCAGAAGGAGAAGCCAAGGCAGGAAGCAGGAGCTCAAAGACTCCTTTCCCAAGGTAGGCAGCAACAGTAGTCCTGCCGCAGAGAGCCAAAGGGAACAGAGGGTGTGTGTGTGTCATCCGGACAAGGGAAAGGGAAGAGCACGAGTGAGGGGAAGGACCAGGGCTCAGAGCAAACAGAGCATGCTAAAAGGGGGATTTAAAGAGGAACTGAAAAGACACTGGGGTCCCAGCACAATTAGGGGTGCAAAAATCCCCCCCCCCATTTTTAAGGTCACTTTCCAGAACTCCACAGTTCCAATGTATGAGTGCTCCTATACGCCTTACCTGGAGCCTTTTAGCATTCCAGCAAAAAAATATTCAGATATAGGACAGCTGACCACTGGCTTGGCAGCAGCACATGCAAAAGGAGGAGGAGGAGGAGAAAGAGAGAAAGGAAAGGAAAGGAAAGGAAAGGGGATCTAGAGACGTCTGTCTTGGTTGAGCCAAGGAAATGTGGTGGAAAAAAGGGCAACGGCCACTCTAGAGGCTTCAAAAGAGGCACCCTATCTAGATCAAAGGGCCGCTCTGCTTTCTTCTGATCACATCTGGAGTACCAGTTGTGGGCACCACCATTTAAGAAAGATATGGAGAAGCTGGAAAGGGCCTAAGGCAGTGGTTCCCCATTTTGGGTCCCCAGATGTTCTTGGACCACAACTCCCAGAAATCCTGGCCAGCACAGCTGGTGGGGAAGGCTTCTGGGTTAGCGAAAGTTGGGAACCACTGGTGATGGGAAGGACAAGGAAGTTACTAAGAGCCTGGTGGGTCCTGAAAAGCTCACAAAACTTCGTTGGGTGCCCTGTAAGTGCTTAAGGCACCCCTGTTCATTTTGTTGCACAGACTAACACAGTCACTAATCCCAATAATGATGATGTGTCATCAAGTCAAACCCCCCAATTATGGCCACTCTTTCCAAGGGTTTCCTAGGTACGGAGTACTCAGAAATAGTTCACCCTTCCCTTCTTCTCGAAGGACTCCCTTTGGGACAGTGGGGCCTGCCCAAGGCTACACAGGCTGGCATTAAGCGCACAACACACGACCAGAGAATGAACTCTCAACCTCTCACTCTGCTATCCAGCTCCTTCCCCCCCGCCAGGTCCCCAAAGGTGGCAAAGGGTCTGGAAACCAAGCCCTGTGAAGAAAGGTTGAGGGGTGCTGTTGAGGGGTATGTTTAGGCTGCAAAAGAAATAAATGAGGAGTGATATAACATTACAGCCATTGTCAAGAATCTGAAGTGCAATACAACATAACTTCCTTTTCCCCTTTTTAGCTGCTCCACAGGAGAAGACCCAAACCTATGGGTAAACTTACATATTTCTACTAAACATTAAGGAGACCATCCCAACCGTTAGAATCTCAGAGTCTTTCTTTCCATCAAAGCAGACTTCGCTCCGTTTGATTTCTGCTACAGGCTGGCATATCCTGCATGCACAGGGTGACAAAAATTTGGTTCGGTTTGGCAAAAAAAAAAAAGAGGTGGTGCTGTTGGACAAAGGAGATGTAAGCGCCATGGGGCAGTATTTAAGCAGCACACTTTGCTTTCTGAAAGCACATAGCAACCACTCCTTTAAGGGCCTCCACATGAGGAGAGAAACCTTTTCCTGGAGCAGAACGGCCAGCAAGGCTAAGCCAGGCCTACCCATCGAGGAATCGAAGCTGCTTGGCACAGACATCCCATGTCACTTGGTTGCCATTGTTATAAAACATGGTGCCACCCAAATCGACAACTACACACCATGCCAGCTTCTTGGCCTGATTCTTCTCTGGGATCCCCAGAACGTCTGTGTTTTAAGCCTTTAGAACTTTCCAACGGGAGAACCTCAGTTAGACCAAGGGATGAGACACATAAAAAAACAGAAGGTGGGAGCTGGCTGCCCGACCTTTGACTTTTGACTGCAATCACACTTTTAATTGCAAAGATAACCCGTTAAGAAGGAGCAGCTGCTCTTCTTTTACTTCATATGATTCCCCTCCCTCAAACGCACACACGCCACAAAGGCAACCGCGCGTCCTTCTTGCACTGCAAAAGCCACCAACGATGAACTGCTCGCCCCCACCTCAACTCTCTCCCCTCCATCGCATTTTTCAAGGGATCCCGTTCCTGAAATGACTTTCATTATACCTAATGTCAAGAAAGCCTGAGACTGAGCCTGGAAAACGGGACACATTTTGGACACCCAAATGCTTCATTTTCCTTGTTGCTTCTCCCTGAGAAAGGGAACTCCACCAATTCATAGGACAGGGGTCGGGAGCCTTGAGCCCTTGAGTCAAATCCAGTCCTCCCTCAGGTCCTGAGCCGCCTCTCTCGGCTTCTCCAGAGGGCCTTGCTTTTTTGCTTCCACGAGAGCGTCAACTCTACGCTTTGTATGTATGTATGTGGGTTTTCCTAACTCTAAAACACTGGAACACCTCTCTCTAAGGCAGGCTTTCAAGACCATGAGACGCTTGCCGCCTCTGATTAAAAGGTCTGGTGCTCTTGCAAGCTTAAACGAATCTCTTCCCTTTTTTTTTTTCGTTGTCCTTAAGGAAATACGATCACAATAGGAATTTCAGAATTTTCACCTGTGGCCAGCATGCTTCCCTCTTGTCTTCCTTACAGCTTAAAGTGAGAGCTTTAAGTTAAAATAGGCTGCTGTTATTGGTCCCATGTTTGCCACTGTTACCCCCTTTAAGCTGGTTGGGTGCATCGTAGCCTGTTGTCCTTCGCTGGAGTTTGTAACCCCCTTTAGCGGGTAACACCACGTTTTGCTCCCATCTGGAATGCGCCCCCCCCCAAGCCATCAGGGGCCACAGAGCTCAGCCCTCGGGCTGAAGGAGGCTTCCTCTACCTTTGGTACGGTGCCAAGGGCTCTGGTTTTACCTGCTTCCTCTCCGTGCCTGTCCGTCTCTGGCTTGCGGTCTTCCTCGCTCGGGGATGTGGGGGGCGTCTGGAGAGAGATGAAGGACGGCAGCTTGGCTAGTTTGCTGGTTTGCGAGGGGGCGAGGGGGTCCCGGACATCTTTGCCCTGCTCTGCCCTGGAAGGTCCCACAACATCTTCGTCGTCTTTCCTGCAGGAGAACAGACATCAAGGAGGGTCGAGAACTTTCACTGCGGGTGGAGATGCTGCAGGATTTGGCAAAAGACTGTTGGGATGACTAGTTCAAGGCTTAAAACCACATACTGTATGACAGAGCCTGGCAAAGCTCTACCAGCGATTCACCCTGGTAGCAACCAGAGGTCATTTCTGATCGAGGTGCAGCTGAGAACCACTGCAGTGGATCAGAAACAAAAAGGGTAAACTTTTCTGAGTTACAACTTTTAGAATTTCTACCCAACACGGAAGTTATTGTCTCATAACTTGCAAGAACTAGCACAAGTTCTAGTTAATAGATCAGATTGTAAAGGGTTCCAATCTATCGCCCTCGCAACAGCCCTGCAAGGCAAACTGTTATGAAGATGATATGACAGCCGTTCCAAAAACACACGGTGGTTTCCCAGGAATGGAAAGATCCACTTTGTGGCCAGAGAAAGGATGGAGAGGAGGGGTCGTAGCTGAAACTAATCAGGGAAAACCCTTTAGCAAGTAGGGCGGAGGTGGCCTGCAGGGTTTCAGTTTGGTTTGGTATCTAAAAGCAACCTTCAATGCAATTGGCAATAAACGCAAAAAATGCATCTACAGCGTCAAAATAAGAGCGTAGGTTGCATATCTCCCAGTAACCCTCTGGGATGCAAGCCTGCAGGCAAGACCACAGTGTGGCAAAGGAAGCCCCCCCCCCCCAGCTTTCCATGCCCCACAGAGGAGAGGGCTGGTATTTAACCAGAAACCCTTGCAGAGCTTGGCTATTTAAACTACAAACCTGTGGAGGCTCGTTCATGCATGTCTCCATCTCTTTCTTTCTCTGTGTGTTTGAGGGCACGTATGTGTGTGTGTGAGAGAGAGACCGAGAGAGAGAAAACAAAAGAGCAATTCACAAAAACACTTTGTTAGAATAAGCAGTAACCTGACATGTCTGTTAGTTTGGGGGGGGGACCACTGTGTAATCTCTCCAGCTGTTTCAGCCTCCTATATGGGGGATGCAAGAACCACGGTCAGTTCCTACTGGGGCCACACAGAACCACAAAGTGTGAAAACACACACCCAGAACATCAGTCTCCTTCTGACTGAGCTCCCAGTGACCGTCGCACAAATGTATTCTGCCTCAAGTGGTGGAGGTAGTACACAGCCATCACGTTTAATAAAGCCATTAATTATACGCTTTCAAGTCCATTCTGACACACAGGGACCTCTCCAAGTTTTTATAGGTGTAAAGTGCTAACACAGCCCTCCAGGTGGCTGTCTGGAACCACCATGCAGCTTCTCCGAGGTGGCACCGAACCCCATCAGCCACGTGTCCTCCAGGATATCTCACCTGGCTTTTGCTCCTAGGTGAGATCTGCGCTCCAGGATCTGTGGCTCTGAACACACAGGCAGACACAACTGGGCTATGAGCAGCACGGGAAGCGCTGATGTCAGCCTACTGGGCTTTCTTTGGTCTTGACGACACCAGCACGCCATTAAACCTGCTTTGCGCCCCAGCCACCAAGACTCGGCCGGGCTCATTCAAGAAGGAAAGAAAGGGAGGTCGCCAAAACAGCAGCAGAGTTATGGGTACAAACAATGTGTGTGTACGAACACAGCCTGACACTGACACTTCCTAAAAGGGGGGGGGGAATAATTATTTTTAACCCTATTTTAAATTCCACATTTTTTTCAGATGGAGCAAAAGGGAACGGTCCTTTCCTGTTGTGAGGATCCATTTCCCTTTCTCTCCCTGTTGTTCTGCACACCATTTTCCCATTATGTTTTTGAACATGATCCAAGAGCATCACTTTTGTTTTTGTTTAGTCGTTAAGTCGTGTCCGATTCTTTGTGACCCCATGGACCAGAGCACGCCAGGCCCTCCTTGTCTTCCACTGCCTCCCAGGGTTGGGCCAATTTCATGTTTGTAGCTTCGAACAAAACTGTCCATCCTTCTCATCCTCGGTCGTCCCCTCCTCCTCTTGCCTTCACACTTTCCCAACATCAGGGTCTTTTCCAGGGAGTCTTTTCTTCTCATGAGATAGCCAAAGTATTGGAGCCTCTGCTTCAGGATCTGTCCTCCAAGTGAGCATCACTTTACATTGGCCCAAATCCTGTTGCTTACCACTGTGAATTGCACTAGAGAAGGCTTCTGAATCAATGCCGATTGAGTCAGTCAACTCCTCCTTAGGTTCTGGAGATCCAACGGGCCTACTCCTTCTGTGGTTTACTGTGCTGTGCAAGAGGCTTCTGGCCATGGCCACCCAGTGATAAGGTAAATGATCAAAGGCATGTAAAAAAAGGGGAAACGGGGTGGACGGGGGGGGCAAACCTTTCTGTCAGAAGCACAAGCAGTATTATTTTATTATAAAACTGCTCAGGGGAAAAAGTCTTTTAATAAACTTAAAAGAAAAAAAACTCTTTTAACAATAGGTATCTTTACAACATAGTCTTAACTCACAGTTATTTTTTATCACCTTGTTTTCATACATATTCATTCTGTGTTTATCTTACTTTGGATGTAAACCATCCAGAGCTGTGCCCAGTACTAATCAGACACGGCAATTAATTAATTAATTAATTAATTAATTAATTAATTAATTAATTAAATGGATGGATGGATGGATGGCTGGATGGATGGATGGATGGATGGATGGATGGATGGATATGTAAGAGAAAATGGTTTCATGAAATCCAGCCTCAGGCCAAGTGGGCAGGGTGGATGATAAGACTTATTTCCTTGAAGCAAAGTCAGAGATTAAATTTTGAAAATAAAAGGTGCTGGTCTTGTGGTTTCTTGACCCTCAGGTTCAGGCCATCTCCCACTCCGATGTCAGCCACCGTGGTTTTAACCATTCTCGACGATAGTATCATCAGACTGGTTATAAGAACCGAACTCTGCAATGAGGAGAAAGCATTCTGCACTTTCTCAGAGGCCTGTGGTCTTCCTGGCCAAAGGCTTCCACGCTCCGGTTGCCGGGCTCAACTCTGGCTCTCCTTCAGCCCCTCCTGCGACGAGCGCCGGCCCCTCCCTGCCTGGCTCCCTGACATCGTCTCCAGGCCTGCCCCATCCCTGGGCCTCTGGGGCCTCTGAGCAAATGTGGCTAATGGGACGTTTTATCATGTTTGACATCCCTGTTGGCAGACGCTAATAAAGACAGAGGGAGTGTGCTGCTATTTAAAAAGATCAGCGTGTCTGACAGGCCCGATCTTTCCCCTGAAATGGGGAGTGGAAGGCAGAGCAGATGGGGATGGGGTGGGACGCAGGGCTCCTTCTCACCCCCCCCCTCCGCCAGCCACATTCTGACCTAAAATGAGCCAGGAAGCATTTGACACCTCATTGACACAGGGGGTGGGATCGGCACAGCATTCCATATTTATTCTGTCACCCGGGATAACTCTGGAGAGCCCTCAAGGAGATCATTCCCCTGATCCGTGCCTCCCGGCGCTACCATACAAGGAAGAATGGGGATCTCCGCGGAGGGATCTCAAGGGACCGACCTAGAGAGGGTCTCCAGCTGGGCACATCCGGGCTCCCTGAGCTTTCACCAGCCCTGAAACAGATTCACCGGCATCTGGATTCTAGTCCTGTCCATTAAGGAGCAGATCTCACTGCGTCCAGTGGAGACTTACTTCCCAGTGAAGGGAGAGAGAGGACAGCAGCATCCGGCTGGCCCACGGTGGCTCCTTCAAGGCACACCATCCCTGTTTGATGTGTTGCCCTGTTTCCCAATTTCAAGGGCAGGCACCTGGCCAAAGAAAAGACAGAAAGAAGGGGGGGGAAATCCAAAACATGACAGCACTTTAGAGACTAACAATGGAATAAAACTGTTAAGTCTTTAAAGTACTACAATATTTTGGGTCCCGTCCCCCTGCTTTCCTTTCTTTCTTTCATTCTTTTCTTTCAGCAACACACAAATCCAATGACAAGGGCTTCGGGTCCTCCCAGAGACTCTACAGCCGAGCAGGAGGTGGAAGTAGGAGCCTAACAAGAAAGCGTCCACCCGGGTGGCCTAGGGTGTCAGCCGCACAAAAGGTGCATGGCAGGAAAAGGACCAAGAACAAATAGCACCAGACTGCTGTGGCCTGTGCTGAGATCCTGATTCTTTTGAACTACGTAGATCCCTTTCTCCTCCAAGGCATTTTAAACAATCGGATACGAAACAGGAGGGAGATGCAGATGGCAGACGTGTCCCTCCTGTCTCTCTCCCTACTGAGAACGCTGGGGCAAAGAGGATCTTTGTGAATTTCGTTGTATGGGTATACTGTGTATATACGTACAATGACAATAAATGATGATGATGATGATTGTTATTATTGTTATTATTATTATTCTATAGTTGTGGGGTGACTGCTGAGAAGGCCCGGTTTCTGGCGGTCACTTTTTGGACCTCTCTCTGGATCAGAACTCTCAACCGCCCAGCATCATCATCATCTGACGAAGGTTCCAAGGAATTATTATTATTTTCCATTAAAGGGGAAAAGAAAGAGAGAAGGAACCAATGTATCAAATCCAGAACATCCCCAGTTGAAAAGGGTCCTTCCTTTCTCTTCCTTAACGTCCTCACTCCAGGACCCAGTATCCCCAGTCAGGGTTCTGTCCATGTTACAGGCCGTGATGGAGGAGGCGAGGTGGAAGGGCCCACTTGTCCAGGCTTCCCAGGGGATGTCAGGGTCAAGGCAGCTCCTGGACTTCTCAAGTGACCGCCCAACATCTCAACAGGCCTGCTGGCCAGTTAAAAGGCAGAAGGCAATTCCCTCTTCACCCTCTGACTCCCAGGCACCTTCCCGTGAGAAGGTGGGCAGACATGGACATCCAGGCCCCATACAGCCTAACTGCACCAGCAGCTTTATCCTCGGTTTCTCCTCCATGACCTTCTGCATTGGGGCTCGAGGGCAGGCCCAGAGTTGAGGCCAGGGCAGGAGGTGAGCTTGAGACCAAGTGAGGGATGGCCCAGGAGGGGGGCATGTTTGACCCAGTGATCCTGAACCAATTCAGTAGCTCTATTTAAACCAGGGCTGGGCAACCCTGGAGCAAGGAGGGGCAAAAAAAAACCCAGATCCTAAACGGGCCACCACAACCCTTTCTGATGAAACCAGAAGTGCCCAGAAAGTCAAGTCCAGCTTCTCAATAATGGGATTTTGGTGCAAAAACAAGGTGTGCCGAGTCCTTGCAGTAAATCAATCACCAAAAGGAATTGGTACATCCACCAAAGCAGCTGGCTGGGACTACTGTCTCTCCTTGCGGAGTCCTTGCACCTTGTTTTAAAAGAGAGCTGTGCCCCCTGGGAGGATTCTGGTCATGCAATCCCTCCCTTTTGCAGATCTTTTATTGTTTGGTGGGGTCTTTGGGAGCTCCAGTGACTGCAGAAAGAGCCAGTAGAGGTAGGAGCACACGATGCCCACCCTTTATTCAAATATATCCAAACTTAAATGGAAAGCCAACGAAATCAGTGGCTACTGTCATTCATGCTCTGTGACAGAAAACAAAGGTTCCAATCTTGTCTTTTGGGGGTCTCCTGCAAAGACTTGTGTTCTAGCTCCCACTTCATTGGCTTTGGCCAAAGGAGAGACTCACAGGAAGACAAACGAGGCACACGATCCGTAACACCAAGTCACATGGCCACCCCATTGCTCCTGCAAGGTCCATTTCTTTGGCCTGAGCAAGGATACTGATGCTTGTTGCTGATGGCCGCCATAGGCTCAGCTTTTCTCAGCTTTTCGAGCATGGGGCTGTAGGAAACAGATCACCCAGTGTGACAACAGAGATAACCAGCAAGCATGGGGAAATCCCGCAGAAGACCAGTAACCCAAAAGCTCAACAGTCAGAGGATCTATCAATTTCAACAGAAATACTGTATGTGCTGGACTCTAGCATCAGCAACCCAAATTTTGGAACTCAAGAACCCAGTGCCACAGCTCAGGAAATAGTATGGGTTTTCACTCAACAAAGCACTTTCCTCGAAGTATCTCTGAAAGACAAAGCCTTCGTAGAATCACAGAGCCATAAGGTAGTTGGGTTGGATGGGAATCCACAGGTAACACATCCCTGACAGCTGGCAATCCAAGGTTTGGTTCAAAGCCCCCAATAAAGGAGAAGCCATTCGTACCACAAGGAGCCCGATTCTGCTATTCAACAGCTCTTCTCCTCTAGATGTTTTTCCTCCAACAATTAGGCTGAAACATCCTTCCTTATAATTTGGATCCACTGATTAAGATCCTCCTCACTGCAGCAGCAGAAAACAAGCTGGTGCCAAATGATGGATAGGATTTTTTGATTTTCTGGGCTACATGTCAGAGTGGGCTGCTTTCCCATAATACTCCACTCTGGGAGTTCTACATGATGGACAGACACCTTACAGGTACCTAAATGCGCATCACCTGAGAGAAAGACCCAAGCGGGACGGCTCTGAAGCTGAGCTAGGCCTGGCTTCCTGTTCAGAAGGAAAGCTGGAGCAGGAACAGGAAGCTTGGGTATAACTAGGCCTAGACCAGCCTCCAAGCCTTCCAGGGAGAGGCACACTTTTAGATGTCATTAAAGCCAAGTGTGCGCTGCTTATAGACCGCCCCAGAGTGTTTAAAGCACTTTCTGGGTGGTTTAAAATGTTTTTTTTTAAAAAAAATTAGGCTATACACTGCAGCCCCAGCGAGCTGGGTACTCATTTTACCATTAAAAAAAAAATTAGACAGGCTATACACAGCAGCCCCAGCGAGCTGGATACTCATTTTACCAACCCCAGAAGGACGGAAGGCTGAGTCAACCTCAAGTTGTCTGTCAGATCCATTGGTATCAAATGCTGACCGTGAGCTGAGTTTTGGCTGCAATATTACAGTTTAACCACTGCACCGCGAGTTCCTTCGGTAAGGTGCCTGTCTGTCAGGCAGAACTCGCCAAAATAGAGAATGATGGGACTTGTAGTCCAGTAAATCAAAAATGCCATCCTTAAGTGCCATCCCTTCCATGCAGCCGCTCTTTGGGGAGCTGAAGACAGCTATCCTATCTCCTCTCCGTCTTCTCTTCCTCCAGGCTAAAAAAATTCCCCCAGCGCCTTCCACCCTGACAAGAAAGCCAACATGCTTAAGTGTCCTGGCTCCTGTGGATCTGATCCACCAGCACTCACACACAACCACACCCCCCCCCCGCAACCTGCCAGGCACCTGGCAGTCATTTCACAGGACTAAGGCCCCTGACTGGAGGGAGCCTGCAGTGTTATGACGATGCTCTGATCAATAGGCCCCCAAGGGCAATGGGGACAATGAACTCCATGAGGTCTGCTCTTTTGTGCTGACGCCGGGCTGCTGACATGTTCAGCTCTGAAGCACCGCTGCCTCTGAAGGTGCTCCCAAAAGGCGGCCGGCTTCAGAGTCACGTCCTTCAGCATCATGCACTTCAGCGCATTCGCACTTATCGAAAAACAGCCAGAACAACGGATTGGTGTTTGGGTGACAAGAGGTTAATGGATGGGGGGGGGAGTCTGCTTTGGGGGATTTCCCTTCCTTGGCGTCATTTTGTGAATGGCAGCGGGCGCAAGAGGGAAGCCAAGGTCAAAACCATCCATATGATGTAAACGAAAGACGGTGAAGAAAGACAAGAGGGAAAAATCAACTTAACATCGTACCCACGTTGCAGCAGGAACAAGGATGTTAAGCTTTGACAACACCCACAGCAGCCGTCAAGAGGGTCATTACCGTTCACGCTTGTCGAAAAACAGCCCTGACCGTTCCTTTGCGTTCGGGTGAGATGGGGTTATCTGATCCTAAAAGGAGTCAGCTTCTCCGAAGGGTAGTGAGCACAAGACGGTAGAGTGTGGAGACCTTCGCTCTACCTGAAAAGGACGCTACGCACCTCGCACAGGATAGGAGGCTGTGCAACTCACGTAGGCTTGCCTCACTGGGACTGGAAGAAGGAAATGGTTTTCACCAGACAACGGATTCCAGCGGGGACTACCCCGTATGGCCACAGAAACATGCTCTTTGGGCCTGTGCGGGCTTGTGCCCCCCATCTCCCTGCAATCAGGGGCTCCCTCTGGAACTTATTTATTTATTTTTATTTATTTATTTAACTTATATGCCGCTCACACTACCCAAAGGTCTCTGGGCGGCTTACAACAATTAAAATACATTAAAACTTGTGAGGAGGCAGAGAGGTTTATGGCGCTGAGCCTTCTTACCTCAACATCTTGGTGGCAGGACTCTCCCGACCAGACGATGAGGGGTCGTGTTGCGATCCGAGTGGTCGAGCTGGACGCTTCCTCTGGGGGTGCTGCAGTTTGCACTGGGAGCCTTTGGGGCAGGTGCCCCGCTTGGAGAAGTCTGGGCACACCAGAGTGTGTTTCTTCTTACACTGAAAGGGAAATCCAAGAGTGCCTGTGATGCCCTGGGCAGGCTGACGAGCAAGCAAGCGGTCCCGTGCCCCTTCCCCTTGAACACATCCTCCCCCAGGACAGGGAATATCTTACCGTTTAACCAAGAACTCCCCAAACCCCCACTGGAGAAGCCTGGGACGGTGCCCGCCCAAAAGGTAGTTCTGCCTAATTCTGGTCTGGGGTGTCTGTGTTTGAATCTCACGACCCACCAGAAGTGATCAGGACAGGATGGGCCGAGAGAATTGTTCCTCCTGTCTTCAACAACATAATTATCCAAACTAGAATAAAATAAGGCAAGGTGTGGAAAACGGGAGCCACAAAGCTGTAGCGGGGTTGTATGCGTGACAGGGCACACATAGAGAAGGGCCAAACGCAAGCTAGGATCTGCTCAAACCACGCATTTAGCACACCAAGCTATTGGTGCATTGGACTGAAACACCACCTTTCTCCCCAAATGAGGGGGGGCCTCAAGGTGGCAAGGCTGAGGAGCAGCTCTTGCGGCATTTCTTAAGGAAAAGCCACCGAAAGCAGGAAGAGCCACAAGATGATCCCTCAAGCCATGGCACTTGCAAACAAAGCAACAGAGGGAGAGGAACGGGTCTCTCTTTAATGTCGTCAGATGAACCGTTCCCTTTCACAATACAGGACATCCACACAAATTCTGAAAGGGAAGAGGTCAGGAAAGGAAGATGGAAGAGTGATGGGCAGCCGAGTGTACGGAGCGGAAACAGGGAACACAAGTAGCTGGGCAGGCCAGTGGGAAGAGGTGAACGAGCAGGAGGACTCCAGCAGGAAGGATGCTGAGGCCCAGATAGGTGACTGGAAGACCTGGCGAAGATCTGGCCGAGAAGAGAGGAGATGAGAGAGGAGGGGGGGAGAAGCAGGTCGGGGAAAGCAGGCAACTCGCAGGAAGGGGGCAAAAGGAAAGGCTTTTTGGGTTAAAAAAAAGAGATGACTCGGAGAGCTGAGGATCCAGAGGACAGGAACCTGAAATTTGGATTGGAGATGTGTCGCCCTGTGTGGAGAGATGGGCATGAGCGCATCAGTTCGACCACGGTGAGCCATGCACTCCTAACATCACGGGACCGGGATGAAGGTCCTTCATATGAAGACCTCTCCTCTTGCTCCTCCTCCTCCTTCGCCCCTCCTCTCTTTTTAGAGACTTATATTTCAGTCCCTGACCTGAAGTGACTGAACTGTGCCAGCCCAAAATAACTGCGGCCAAGCACCTCTTTCAACAGCTTCCTTCTGCCGAGATGCTCCAAGAGGGAGTTCAGTGGCTCACAGGCGATTGTTTGCCCCCCCTCCCCCCAGAAAAGCTGGGACATTTTATTGTGTCTGCCCCACAGTGACCTCCTGTGATATCTTCTCAAATCTCTAAACTGAGAGGAGCCAGGAGCGCTGTTATTATGGGCCCCGTCGTTGGTTTCAGTTTCACGGCCACCTTTTAGATTGGCCCCAAACTCAACTTCAGCACCCCCCCCAAACCACTCTGCAATATGGGGACGACGGATGAATAACCCCAATTTATATGCATGTGCTGAGGACTCCAGAGAATGTGATTTTGAAGCTCTCCTATCTCCCACCAAGTACTGCTTAAAGACAATTTTGTCTTTGGAGGTATGCAGAGGACCCCGAACGTTAAATACATGTTTAAAATTCGAAGGGTCCTATTGCACCAAAATCTCTCCTTTAAGAACATGCCTCCTCAAATGAAATAAGGGAGTTTTATTCCAAATGGTGGGCTTCTTCTTTAAAGAAAGAATTGAAGAAGAAATAAAGAGAATAACCACTTTCTGATGAATATGGTAGAGTGCTGGAATAACTATAGATATACACTGAGTCCGCCTATTTCACCATTATTACAAGCAGTGGAGGCTCAGAGCTCCCCCAAAATTCTAAAAAAATAAATAAAATAAACTTAAAGATGTACTAATAGAGAAAGGGTTAAATACAATAAAGAGTTGGAGGAAAAAGATAAAAGATAAGAATGATGTAAAAGAAATTTTGCGGGAAGAAGAAGGGACATCTTAGTTAAACATACTCCAAATGGAAAGTTGGACTAGAGAGTGGATAAGAAAAAAAAGGAGAGATTAGAAAATTGACAAAATCTGAGGAGATTATTGAACAAAGACAAGTTCAAGAAGAAGGAGGTAAAAGAAAAGGAACAGTTAGTATGATTTATAGAATGTTAGCGCATTCAGGATTCAATCAAACAACAATGAAAAATCAGTGGCAGGAGGATTTTAAAGAGATTAAAGGAGAGGACTGGAATAAGATATGGTCACAAAGAATAATGAAGAATATGTCTATAGGGGTAAAAAAATTGTTACAAGGTACCGTGGAGGTGGTATTTAACTCCAGCAAGACTGAATGCAATAAATAAAAATATACCATCTCAATGCAATATTCAGATATTGCCAAGTATTGCCCTCCTGAATATAATTAAGAACGACCATTTCAAAAAAAGATCAGAAAGAGTTAGTAGGCATAATGGTTACTGCAGCAAGATTAATATTTGCCAAGAACTGGAAAAGCAATAAACAAATTAATTTGGAAGACTGGTATAAAGAAAGGTGGAGTTCAGCAATTAACGATATGTTAACGTGTGAAATGAGAACAAGATGAGGAACGGTAAAGGCTAACGATTTGAAAGATATATGGAAGTTATACTTGGAATATGTATTTCTGAAAGGGAAAGGTTATAATCCAGCCGAAGAATCAATGTATTTTTGGAGTGGAATGGGGTGAAAAGTTATATAATTATATTATTGGTTACCTAGTCCCGAGGGTGAAGGGGGCACAGATGGAGGTTTAATTTGTATTGTGTATAGTTTTATTGAATATGTATCTTAAGTTAGTTTTGTTATATATATTTTTAAATTAAAAGGCGTTTTATTCCAGAAGGGTGAGCTGCTACTCTAAGCACAGGGAGGGTCGGTCGGGTCACAGCTAAAAACCCACCCGTCCCATAAAAGGAGGGCTTATGTTTTGCACGAGCAATTAAGAGGTGCCTCAGCCGCCTTGGGGGCTGTACAGGAGAACGGTGGGGCAAAATTGGTTTAAATAAATAAATCTTCTTTTCCAGCTCCCAACCAACAAACCACAGAGTTGGCTTTTCTCGCGGCTGAGATGCCTTTTCCTCTTTTTCTAGAACCTGAAACTTTTTCTCTTTCCCTTCCTGGTCCTCCTTCCTCAACAAAACCCTCGCACTTTCCCTCTTTAACACAAGACCGACACACTCCCGCGCCAATAACTTCCCTTTGGATCCATTTACTAGCTTCTGTTCAAGTCCCTCCTTCAATAGAGACAACAAACGGTGTGTCATTAACTTGGTGGCTATGACCCTCTCTCAAATTTCTAATGACTTTCCCACACCTTTCTTCGCTTGGCGGGACGTGACCACCTCTTTTGGCCACTCTCTGCAATGCAACTGCCTCCTCCCTCTCGAAAGAGGACGTCAATCAGAAAAGGGCCTTGGGGCGCAGGGAGGACGGACAGCAGGGCGACGTGCCCAGACATCCGCCAAGCCAGAAGGCACACAGCCACCTGCTCTGCCACCGAGGGCCACGGAAAGCCCAGAGACCCCCGAACATCCCGACCACACCCGGCTCTCCGCCTGGCTGGGTGCTGGGAACCAGGAGGCACCCACATTCTGGGCCTTCTCACCCAGCAAAACAGGAGGATTCAGTTACTGTAAGCCCGGCACATGTCAGCTGAGGTGAAGACGAGAGGAGCGCCCGGCTCAGAGCTGCCAAGGAGAAACCTCATTCCTTAGGTCATGCGATCCTGTCCACCTGTCAATGCTGCTAATTTTACCACCTCCAGCAGGATCCGGGCCAACCGGCAGGTTGTACCATAAAAAGGAAGAAGAAAAGGCCGCCTGCTCCCAGAAGAACAGAAGAGAATCCCACAGGAAGTGCAGACGAGCAGCGGACTGGAGGCCAGGAGAGAGAGAGAGAGATGGGCTGCTCAACTGGCCTAGAAGTATGCTGGGGTGCAGCAAGAGATCAATCCCAAATTCCTTAGGGATTGCTTCCTCTCTGCATGCCAGCACACCTCTGGGTGAACGGTCTTACAACCAGGAAATCTACTGTTGGGTTCTCTCCACGTCCTGCCAAAGCTTCAGTGTCACTCTCTGGAGATGGGCTCCAAAGCCTTTTCAGGATCTACTCTGATGAGGAACCTTGGCTTCTCGGATGCATGGCGGGAATTGAGCATTGGAAAAGGGAGGGACACAATGCCTTCAAGCATCCTTCTAGCACCCTGGAACTGACCCCTGTGATGGCACATGCAATGGAAGAGCCCATGTGAGCCTTGGACTACATCCAGATCCCTTGGGTGCATGGCAATGCCATGCCAGTTTTAAAGTTACTTTGGGTATTACACAGACAGACAGAAAGACCGGCCGGCCGGCTGGCCGACCGACGGATGGATAGATAGATAGATGGATAGATAGATAGATGCCGTATTTTCCTGTTTATAAGACAATACTTTCATCTAAAATCTTTAGACTAAAAATTGAGAGTTGTTTTATACATGGAAGTAAGGGGGGAAGGGATCAAAGCGCTGCAGGTCATAGCCCTTTGATCCTGCAGCCCTTTCATTGCTGCTTTCCCCCTCCACTTCCTAAGATCGCTGCTTTCCCCCTCCACTTCCGCAGCCCTTTGATTGGGGACCGTCCTCAGAGAGTACAGCTTGGGGAGAGGGTATCAGCCCCATGGAGCCTCAATTTATTTATTTTTTCCTATTTCTTTCCATCTTGAATAACTATTACTGATGTTTAAATGTTGTTATATTTTATATTCTTATTATATGTGTTGGAAGCTGCCCAGAGTAGTCAGTTGACTAGATGGACGGGGTATAAATGCAATAAATAAAATAAAATAAAATAAAATAAATACAACTCTATCAAATAGCATACCTATTACACCGCTATCTACACCAAACATTATTACTGTTATTTCATTTCCTTCTG